GTGGAAAAAAAAGGTTTACAAATGTTTAAAAAAAAAAACTTAACCTCTCTTTTTACTGCCTCTGGATTTGGGGCTCATTGTTAGAAATCTTTTCCCTGAATTAGAAAAATAACATAAAACCTCAAAATATGCCAGGAGACAAGGAATAATAAAGATTCAAGCAGAAATAAATGAAATAGAAAATAAACGAACTATACAGAAAATAAATGAAAGCAAAAGCTGATTCTTTGAAAAGATGAACAAGATCGACACCATTAGCTAGACTGATTAAGAAAAAGAAGGAAAGAAACCAGATGAATCAAATACTTGATCAAACAGGCAAAATTACAACAGACACAAAAGAAATACAAAATATCATTAGAGGATACTAGGAGCGACTATATGCCAACCAACAAGAGAACATGGAGGAGATGGACAATTCCTGGACACATATAATCTACCAAGATTGAATCAGGAGGACATAGAAAACATGAATAGACCCATAACAAGCCATGAGATTGAAAACTACAGACCAATATCTCAGATGAATATTGAGGCAAAAATTCTCAACAAGATACTTGCAAATTGTATCCAACAACATACAAGAAAGATTGTTCATCATGACCAGGTAGAGTTTATTCCAGGGATCCAAGGGTGTTTCAGCATATATGACTATAAACATAAAACACCATATTACCAGAAAGAAATATAAAAACCACATGATCATTTCAATCGATGCAGAGAAAGCATTCAACAAAATACAACATCCCTTCATGATCAAGACTCTTGGAAAGATTGATATAGAGGGTCATTTCTCAACACAATAAAAGCCATATATGAAAGACCTAAACCTAACATTATACTGAAAGGGGAAAAGCTGAAAGCTTCTCCACTAAAAACTGGTACTAGACAAGGCTTCTCACTTTTTCCACTGCTTTTCAATATAGTGCTATAAGTCTTAGCAGTGTAATCAGAAAAGAGAATAATATAAAAGGCATTCGAATAGGCAAAGAAAAGTTGAAAATATCTTTATTTGCAGGTGGCATGATGATATACTAAGATGACCCAAAGGTTTCCATAGAAAAACTTCTTAAAGTAATAAATTAATACAGTACAGTGGCAGGATACAAAATAAACATCCAAAAATCTATAACATTTCTATATACGAACAAGTTGACTGAGGTAGATAGAATTCAAGAAAAAGAATCCCTTTTACCATATCCACAAAATATATAAGATACTTATGGATAAACCTAACTAAGGAAGTCAAAGACCTTTACAAAGGAAACTATGAAAATCTTTAAAAAGATATTGAAAATGAAAAAAAAAATTAAAAAGTAGAAGGATATCCCATGTTCCTGGATTGGAAGAATTAATATAATCAAAGTGGCAATTCTACCCAAATTAATCTACATATTTGATGAAATTTAAATTAAATTACCAGAGACATTCTTCACAAATTTAGAAAAGACAATCAGAATTTGGAATCATAAAAGACCTCATATCACCAAAGCAATCCTGCAAGAAGAGTGGAGTGGGTGGCATCTCACTCCCTGACCCCAAAATATAAAGCTGTGATAGTCAAAACAGCATGGTATTGGCACAAAACAGATATGTGGACCAATGGACTAGAACAGAGACACCAGAAATAAACTCAAAAACATACAGTCAATAGATTTTTGACAAAGGATACCAGGCAATCCAATAGGAAAAGGAAAACCTCTTTAGCAAATGGCACTAGAAAAACTGGGTATACACCCTCAGAAAAATAAAACTGGATCCCCATCTTTCATAATTAACAAAAATCAACTCAAAATGAGTCAAAGATCTGAACCTAAGACCTCAAACTATAAAACTACTGCTGGAAAACACTGGGGAAACTCTGGGGTACATTGGGATAGGCAACAACTTCTTAAATAAGACTCCCAAAGCACAGGCAATAATCACCTAAAATAGACAAGTTGGATTACATCAGATTAAAAAGTTTCTGCACATCAACGGCCACAATAATTAGTGTGAGCCAACAATCCTTGAAATGGGGGAATATTTTTGTAAACTATGCCTCAGATAAGGGACTGATAACCAGAATACACAGTGAGTGAATTCAGGTGGCTTACCTGAAAAAAAAAAAAAAAAAAAAGATTAACCTAATTAAAAGATGGAAAAATGAACTAAACAAAAACTCTCTAAGGAAGACATATAAACAGCCAAAAAGCATATGAGGAAATGCTCAACATACCTCATCATAAGGGAGATGCAGACTAAAGCCACAATGAGATACCACCTAACCCTTGTCAGAATGGTGAAGATTAAAGATACAAAAAATGGTAAGTGTTGACAAGGTTGTGGTGAAAGGGAAACTCTCCTACCCTGTTGGTGGGAATGTAAACTGGTCTAGTCACTGTGTTAAACAATATGGTGGTTTCTCAAAGACCTACAAATAGAACTACATGATTCAGCAATTCCACTCCTGAGTGGAATTATTTATTATTATTCATTGCAGCATTATTTACGATTGCTAAGACATGGAACCAACCTAAATGTCCATGAAAAGATGAATAGATTCAAAGTGTGGCACATATACTCTATGGAATGCTACTCAGCCATATAAACCAAGACCCTGGGATTTGATAGAAAGTGGTCGAATATGGAAGATTTATTGTTGAGTGAAGCAAGCCAGGATATGAAAGAGAGATACTGTATGTCTCCACTTAATATATATCAACTGTCCTCACTCTAAGGTAGTGATCGAAAGACTGGAGGACATAAAATCAGTGAAAGTAGTTATGGACACTGGAGACAGTGTGGAAAGGGGGCAGAAAAAGAGAAGAGCATCAAAAAAAGAAATAAGGAACAAAAAAATAGAAAGGCAAGACATTTGTGGGACACAGAAATGGTGTATTACCTGTTGATAGTGTGTATAGTATTCTCAACTGGACTGATCTGAGGATTATTTCATGTTGGGTAAATTCTCTTCACAAGCCAAATAATGTATAGTGATCAAAAGTTCAAAATAATAATAATAAAAAGAAAAGAAATCCTTTCTCTGAATTCAGGTCATAAAAGAATTTATTCTGGTTTTCTCTTAGGACTTCTACACTTTTTTTTTTTCTTTCACAGTTTAGCTCTCTAGTCCATGTAGATTTCTTATTTCTTTTTTCTTTTTCTTTGATTTACTTGCTATGGTGCATGCACTTAGCAGAGAAAGATAGACAGAAGGAGAGAAGTAAGAAATCCTCCCCTACCCCCCACCCCCACCCCAGGGAATGGCCATGCTGCAATCTTTTCCCATCCAAAGTTGTCTGGGATCTTGGGCATGCACACACATGCACCTGGAGTGTTTTTTCAAGTTGCCAGGTCCAGGACTCAAACCATGCAGTTGGCCATTTGGGATCCAGTGGCTTAACTTCTATGCCACCTGCTGGCCCCCTTTATATTTATTTCTTGGGTATAATGCAAGACTAGTACTAAATTCACCATTCTCTAAATGGCTACCTAGGTCTCACAAAAGCATTTCTTACAAAGTCCAATCTAATAAGACCGATCTGTGATACCTCCTTTAACGTACACTACAACTCTGTATGTTCTTAGAATTCTTTCTGGACCTTCTATTCTACTGGCCTGTCTATCCAGGTGCTGATACTGTAATGTTTTATTAGAGAGGTTCTGTCTTACATTTATCAAATTTATGGGACAAATGTCAATAACATCAAACTGGCTGTTTAGGGTTTGTACACAAAACCACTGGGCAATTTGTTTACTCCAATACTGACCAGCGATAGGCTATTCACTCCTGTTTTTTATGCCTTACTCAACCACACATAAGAAAAAGAGATGAAGCTACTCCTGTTGTGGCTGTTGTTATTATCATTAATATGGTACCAATGTAAGCAGGATAACTTGATTATTTTGTTTTGACAATTCAAAACCAAACTAGGATCGAACTCTAAACCTGATGAAAACTCAAGGTCTTCCCAGCAACTACAGAAGGTTTTATAGCTAAACACTATTTCTATTCAGGATGATTTTCCCAGGGGCAGGGGTGTCCTTTCTTGACAAAGAGATACATTCATATTGCCAAGGTCCTGTTCTGTACTTCAAGGCCTGGTCTGTGTCGTGCTGTCCCCTGATTTGGGTTCCCATAGACCCTTCCTGCCCTGAATTTGCCTGTAGCTGCCAGAAATGCGGCATAAATGACAGAGCCTGGGGAGAGAAAAGTTGGCTCATGACGGCCATTAGGATCGCTCTGGAGACCAGCTGTGTCTGGGTTGCAGTGATTAATGTGATGTTAATCCCAACAAAAACGGCGGGAGGGAGGCCCTGTGAGAACATTTATAATCAATAAAGGAAAAATGCCACTCCCACCAGACTCATTATCACTATGAAAAATCACCCTGAAATCACACAAGAAACCCAGCCGTTGAGCCGTTACGTGGTGACTGGCAAAGTCCCCCCTTTTAAGCGAATTCAGCATCTGAATCTCCTGCTTGGAATTCAGCCTTAGGATGAGTCCATGGCCAGAGGCCAAACAACAACCCAGTGCCTGTGGAACCACCCTTCAAATGCATTCTCTCTTGTCCCTGGGAAGAAAAAAGCAACTGTAGTTCCTACGGTGGCTTCAGTTCAGTTCCTGACTGAGCCCCAAAGATGCGTGGGTAAAGATGCCCAGGACTGGGCCTCACTATGGTCAGGACTATTTCTAAGAACATCTATAGTCACTACTACCCTGACGAAATTTGAAATGGGGCAAAAGTACCTAGAGAAGCCACAGCAAAAACTGAGTTTCCTGCGCTGCCCACATGCCATCCAGAGTCCATGTCACAGTCTCGAACGTTACGACTTTTCAACACCTTGATTGCCCAGTGACCAACATGCACTGTCCAATCAAAGGCAATGCCATTGAACCCCCAAATGAAGGAAGAGTGACACAGTTGCTCTTTTCTGGAATTGACAGAGGAAAACTCTCACGCTATGGGGGGCAGGTAGACCCTCGGCTGCTTTCCCGGGCCCCGTGGACTCACAGTGCTGTCAATGTAGGCTTCCGTCCACACCACGTCATGCTCCTGGTCGATGACCTTCGGCCGACTGAGCACATGGAGGTATTCCATGACATTTTCCTGCACATCAGCCAGGGTGGAGATCTGGGTGAAAAATCCTGCCAAAACCCAAGAAAGGACCACGGTTAGTAACAGGCTGAAAGACTTGCTACTGCAAGGCCATGCCTTCTTGCCCTCTAGCTAATTTCTTTTATCTTTTTAAAATGTTAGGTCCCTCCACCAACATGGACTTTATGAGTAATATGTTCGTGTCAGAAAATATAGAGCAAAAGAAATGAAATTAAATTGCACTCAAAACCCACCTCCCAGAGGAAGTCTCTGTTAATGAAATCTTTGCAGAATATCTTCCCAGACTCATTTTTTTTAAATGCCAGAGGACACAAGTGCTCCCTAGAGGGAAACAGAGACAGGCAGAGGGAGAAAGCACCTTCCTCCCCATGGGCATGTTCATGCTGCAATTGCTTCTCCTGCATGTCTCCATTCCATGGGATCTGGGGGTACACATGCACATGTGCCCGTGGTGTTTTTCAAACTCCCAGGACTGGGATTTAAACCCCAGTTAGCCAGGTAAGATCCAGCCCCCTTAACCTTTAGGTTACAGGGCCAGCCCTCTGTGTGTGTGTGTGTGTGTGTGTGTGTATTATATATATATTCATACATACATACACATATTTTTTTATGGCAGAAATAAGAGTCTTCTCTATATGCCATTTGTAATTTTTTTCCATCTTAATGAAAAAGGTGAAAACTACAAAGTACAAAAATTAAAGGCTACTCTATTTTCGTAATAGTTATAAAAATAATCGCTGGGGACCAGCAGTTAGCATAATGGCTATGTCACTGTACTCCCATGTATTCGACCGCAGTTCGAGTTCGGACCCTGTGGCTTGGACTCACGCCAGGTGCATGTGTGTACATGCCCAAGATCCTGAGAGGAGAATGGATTGTGGTGTGGCCATCCCCCCCCGGGGGGGGGTGATTTCTTGCTTTCTGTCTCTATCTTTCTGACAAGTGCACACACCCTATAGCAAAAAAACAAACAAACGAACAAAAAATAACTCTCCAATAATAATAATAATAATAATAATAATAATCTAAAATTACTCTCGAATAATAATAATAATAATAATAATAATAATAATAATCTCTAGGATTTCAGAGAATTTCAGATTTTTGGATTGGGACTGTTTCAACCCGCACAGTCACACTGAGTTAACGCCCCCAGCAGGGAAAGGCCATCAAACTTGGTTACCCTGAGCAAGAGTCAGTACAGCTGGTTGACTGAAGGATGAGGACCAGTTAGCTAGAGGAAGAGGGATCAGAGAGTGTATCCAGAAAAGCAAAGGGTGTCAGGACAGACTCAGGTCAGAGAGAATCAGGCCACCTTCTAGAAACCGGAAATAGCTCAGAGAAGCTGGAGTTAAGGGGCTGGGGGACAGAGGGGAGACACAGGGTGCTCGTAAGATCAGAGAAATGAGCACGGGCGGTCACACTGAGAAAGAGTCCAGACTTTATCCTGAAAGCTGGTAATTATGGTAAGCTTTTAAGCAGAGAGCACTGTGTGGATAGATTTACGCTTCCTCCATGCCTCTCACACCACCTTTTACTAGCTGAACAACTCAGAGAGGGTCTGTGAGCTTGTGAAGTCAGATCCACTGAAGCAGTAGCAACAAGTGCTTATAAAATCTCTTAGTGTCTAAATCAAGGCCCAGGATAGCTACGGAAATACCAATGCTTCCATTGTCCAGAAAGGGCCGGGGCCCTCCCAGAGCATTTCCAAACAAAGGCCAGCTGCTTTGAATTTGGTGTGTCAACCCCAAACCAGGTTGGGAGCATGTGGCTTCTGGGTTCCTGAGGCCAGTTCAGCAAAGTGCTCATTAGCATGCATTGTCACTCCTGCCTGCCCCACCCTCCTGACCAGAGGCAGAACTCACCCATCCCAGGGCAACAGGGCCTCAAAGGAATAGACTGTGAGCACCTGTTGTGGCCTGAGACCAGGGAGCACGGTCAGTGTGTGCATCCCTCTTTGAGGTCATTCATCAAAGTTCGGGACACCTGTTTGGGACACCACCTCATAGTGGAGATCAACTCCTGTTCCTGTGTGCTATAAAGACAGCATCTCCCAAGAGTTTTTGTGGGTTGTGTGTATCTCCACATCGAATTCTCAAAGCCATGGGTAGAATTCTTTGATTTAGGTTTTCCAAAACTGGCCAAGAGAAAAAAGAAGATCAATGTCAAAAGGCAGATGGGAAAGACAGGTCAGTAGCATAGAGAGGGAAGGAGAGGGGAAAGAGAAACAATCACCCACTTAGAAGGGGCTTGAACCCAGGGATCATCTTTTCTCGGTCTTCCTTATCATCAATGTTCTGAGAAGTTCCGAGAAACTGACTTCTCCCCAGAGTTACAGAGCCAAAGCCTCCAGGGTACCCCACACACCTTTGCTGACCCTTAGGCTGAACTCATCCAAAGCTAAGTCCTGACCTGCCTCACCAAGTCTGTTCCTCCTCCAGCAGTCTTCTGCATCTTGACCAATGGCACCACCTCCCCCTGTCCCATACCCAATCCACCAGCATGCTCTTCTGGCCCTCTCTCCAAGACCTACCTAAACCTCACTGCTCAATCTGCTCCAAGGCTCCAGCATCCCTCATCCAGAACACAACAGCCTCTCCACAAATCCCTGCCCTCATCCATCTCTTCACGCAGTCAGAGGGCTCATCACCAACTACTTCTCCTCTCCCCCTTGCTCATGTTCCAGCCTACTGGCCTCGTTTCCCTTCTTCTCACATGCCAAGCTCATCCCCCCGCCCCCTCCACAGATCATACGCTTTGCCTGGAATGCCTTTTATGCAGTTTTTCATAGACAGTCCCATTTCATCATTTGGGGTTCAGCTCAGAGGCCATTCCTGATCATCCTGTCTGGACTCCCTCGTTACCACTTCACTCAGGTTAGGTTTTTTCAGAAGATTCATCTGTCACTCGATTCTGTCTTGCTTGTTCACTATATTTTTTCTTTCGTTTTTTTTTTTTGGGGGGGGCTGGAATATTCACTCCATGAGGTGATATTAAAAACAGGTGCCTGGGGCCAGCAGGTGGCATGGTGATTAAGGTGCTGGATATCCATACGGCTGGCTGGAGTTTGGGTTTCAGTGACTTGAAAATCACACCAGGCATGTGTGCATGTGTGCCCAAAATCCCGAGGGGAGAATGAAGGAGAAGGGATTGCAGTGTGGCCATCCCCCTGGGGGAGTGATTTCTCACTTTGGCATTCTCTGTCTCTCTTCAGTGAGCACATGCACCTTATGGCAAAAACCTAAAAAAAAAAAAAGAAAAAGAAAAAGAAAAAAGAAAACCTTATGCCCATCTTGCAGAAAGTGGTCTTTCCAGAACAAATGGGAGCTCTAGAGGGAGCCATTAGCCATGCAGGAACATCACTGAAGATCCACCTCAGGAATTCGCCTTGGTCTTTATGACAGCCCGACTCACATTCTCATTGTATATGGGAGGAAACAGAAGATCAGACACTCAGATTGCCTCCAATTTGAATCCAAGTTCACTAGATTCCAAAGCTTTTGTTCTCAAAAGGCCACTGAAGACATGACTTGTTCCCTGGCTGGGAAAGGACAGACTGGCTGCTCAGAGCTCTTCCTCCAACAGGGTCCCCCAATGAACTACTGGTGTATTGCAGCTGGAAAAGGTTTAAGTGGAGAAGCGCTTATCCCTGGGTTCCTGGCCATGTGCAATAACTAGCACCAAAGGTCTACTCAAAACTCAGGACACAATTCCAACCTCAGTATGCAGACCAGAGGTGCGGCTGTATGAAAGTTTAAAAGCAGCAGAACTGATAAAAAATAATGTAAATAATATATGCTGTGAAACTGATGAAAATTCGATCCCAATCCATTAAAATTCAGTACCTTTCTGAAAGAGTCTTTCTGTTTTTAAATGTTTTCATTTAGCTCACAAACGTATGGGTTTAGCTAACAAATGATGGATAATAGGAAATCTCTGAGATCTGGAATCTCCAGTTGTAACCAGAGATGCTTTCCTTGTTTCCCTCTGTATTCTCTGAGCCGGCCACTTCCCCTCCACTTCCCCCTTTCCCACTCCCCCATTTAAGTCTCGCTCTCGAATGTTTATTCTCTTCTTTAATGTGCCTTTTTGGACTTCATATATCATGTAAGGAAACAGAATCAGCAGTCATTCGGTAATTACCAAGGAGTAATGGATGCTGAAATTAGCCACCTATTACAAATGGTCGCTCATTTTTCTACGTAGCATCAATTTATTTACCTTATTCCCTTGCACAGCTTTCTGTGAACTCAGGGTTACAGCCGCTCAGTGTGATAAACCATATGCAGCCCGATGCTTCATATTCCCGAGGCCTTACCAGCCTTCCTTCACTTGGTCTTAAGCGGCCCTTGTCTCAAAGCTGCCAGTGTGTGAGATGCTCCATGGTTACACCATTCAATGCTGTGCTTTGCAGGAATACCACACACAGGGTGTCACGGATGGCTCCAGGACTCTGTCCTGGTGGGTGGACCCTGGCTGTCTGCCACCCATGGTGAGGTCCTTGCTTCACTTTGACTCTTTCCAAAGACTTTCTGCCTCTTAAATAAGGCAGGCTGAAAATCAGAGGACCGGCATCCAGGTGTCAGTCTTATCAGGGCACCGAGGTGGAATGAGAATCATGGGGCAGTGAAGTCTATGGGGTGACTTTACTGGTTTGCATACCCTACAGAACAACAGGATGCTTGAAAAGCTCTCCCAGGATTCTGTTTCATCTTCCTCCTCCCCATGAATATCACCCACCGCTGAAAAAGCACTTAATACAGGTAAGATGCACAATTTAAAACAGCTTTCTACCTTCATATCTTTGACCTTCACAAAGAACAAGCAAGAGGCCTGTCGAGCCCTGAGAGCCAAAGAGCTAAGGAGTTGGAATGAAGCACTCATGGGGAGAATGACAACTAGGGCAGGGAGCCCCACAGTCTTGGCGGGAGGATGGGACTCCTGAGTCCCATGAGGTGAAATGTCAGGAACCGGACCACACAACGACACAAGCCAAAGCAGCACATTTCTGGAACACACAGGCTGGGTGTGACTCCCAGCTCCTGTCTCCGGGAGCTATGGTTATGTTAATGTCCTCTCTCACTCTCTCATTTTCTCTATCTGGATGTTGTCAAATTTGGAGAGACACATGAGTCTTCATGAAATCACAACTTTCTTCTCCCAAAAGAGAGACAGCCTCAGGTTCAGGTGAAGAGTTTTGGCTGGCTTAGGATCACATGGGTCTCAATCCTGGCTCTACCACCTGGAATAAGTGGTGGTCTCTCTTGGCCTTGGTTTTCTTCTCTACATAAGGGCAGTTCTAATACATAGTTCACAAAGCTTTGATTGGGGTCAAAGGAGATGATACATAAAAGTCTCAGCACCCTGCCTAGTACTCAGTGAGGAGCTGCTCATCCTTGGGTGTTATGACCACCAGCAGCAGCAGCGCCACCATTCTCCTCACCGTTCAAACTCTCATGCTGTAGGAGAATACACAACCACACAAAGGGATCCAAGGAACTGCCACTTCGCCTTCCTCTGTCTGTCCTCAAACAACAAACAGTTTTAATGGCCACTTTTCTCCTACCGCCACCTGTAACCATTCTGGCCTCATTAATTTAAAGCTATCTTTTGGGAGACATGATACTTGGAAAGGAAGGTTAAGAATTTTTTTTTTTTTTTTATTGGAAAAAAGGCTGAACCCCTGGACTTCCAAAGAGGGCTCAGGCCACTGGTTCTTTTTCAAATAAGGAGAGAATGACCTTTAGCCCATCAATAAGGGACAAGTTAAGCAGACAACCAAGAGGGACATGGGCAGCATTTGCAATGGACCTAACGATGACTGATTGGTTGAGAACCCAAACACAGAGGCCCTTCTTTATTTGTACAGCTGGAAAACACTCCATTAACTGTGATCTCTGAAGGAGAATCAGCCGCTGCTTGTTTAATCTTGGCACATTGAACATTCAAGAAGGTCGTCCCAGCTTTATGGACTATCTGGGCCAGTCAGCCCCTCACTTTTGTTTTCCCAGTTTGCTTGTTTATGCAACAGTGTGAACACAGACCTCTAAATTTTGCAAGCCATTCTACAGTGGCAATGCTTGTTTTTAACAAATTTAAAATTATTTGCTGCTTTGCCTCATTAGGGTTCGGTCCCTCCAGATAGGACCTACTCTACATAAAATGAAACAACCCAGTGAGCACCAGGCCTCTCTGGACTTTACTAGTAGACTAGAGGAGGCAGAGAACTCCTGCAAGAGGTATAAATGCCCCCAGAAATCCATGTCCAAGGGAGATGGTGTCTGAGGTCTGTTGGCTACCAACTGTCTCCATGGCTACCAGACTTCCAATAAACAGGTTCTCCACTGACAACAGGTTCTTTGCCCACTGACCCAGGCATGACATGATCACCCTAACAATTCGTGCCCCCTCCTGGGGCCACTCTGTGGTCAGACCTGGTCAGTTGGCCAATGGGTTTCTCCTAGGGCTCTCCCTGGGTCTGCACTGATCCCCGAATGCTTCGTTTCACTGAGGAACTTGGCTGAGTCAGGGCAAAACTATGTAAGGGGGGGTGTCTGGAGAGCATGTCACTTGAGATGAAAAATGTTATGCTGCCTCCATACTATAACAATCTGAGACTATAAACAATGATTTAATTAATGACCAGAGGAGAATACTTGCTCACCGATGTTACGTGGTCTAAAACCCCATAACCGACGCAACACGAAGCCAATGTTTACATGGACACAGATGGCTGGAACCTAACATTTTGATGGCAACTGCTACTTTGAAGAGTGGCAAACAATGACATTTTATTCTTAAGGCCCGTTCCAAGAGAAGCACAGTGAGGAAGGTGAAACTATGGAGAGGGACTGACTTTGGGAGGGAAGGAAATAACTGGATTTGGACAAGAAGAGAAGGAGAATCATTGTGGAATCCAACCGCCCATCCGGCCAAGCAGCTACTATTACCTCCTTGGATTTTCTGAGTTGCTGTACTCAGAACTTATAAATCTTACGGGCTATATTCTATCGCCAGGCCTTGAAATATTCTGTGTTGACTAAACTGTCTTCAAAAGGATGCTTCAAAGATTCGTATAAACAATGACTAAAACTAAATTATGGTGTAATATTAGTTGATTAAGACAAGACTTCAATTTGTGTAATTTTCATCAACTGGACACAGACAGTGGTAAAAACAATAACCCATGACTAAATGCATACTAGCTGATGGGCAGAACTGCAATCCGATGTGGCAGGAATAACGGCACATTTTAAAAAATTAAAAAATGGAAAAGAAATTTTTCTCCCCCCACCAAGACCACAGAATAAAGGGGGGAAAATGGGCAAAGTATAGCTCGCTTAAGGTTTTCAAATGCCAACCCAGTTCCAAAACTGTTTTCAAAAATGGCCTCCTGACTTGGAGGAGACCACGTTCCTCCTTTGTTTTCTGTGAAACGAAGCCAAATGCATCAACTCTGAGACAAGAAGCATCACAGATCCCTTTGAGTGGAGCTAGGCAGCCAATAAACTAACATAACCATAGAATGTGTCTCTTAGAGCTCCAAGGGAGTGTTAAAAGCCTTCCACCAATCGGCCCTTCATTTCTTAGGTGAGGACCTTGAGACTTGCCTGAAAGGCTTCCACACAGAAGCAGATAATGAAAGACAAAGCCAAGGGAGGGGAAGGATGGGCAGAGGTGATACCTGGCTCTGCACCTACTCTCGCGCTCTCCACACTCGCCGCCCTAAGGGCTGTGCCCCGGGAGAGCACATTTCTCATTTAAAAGTTTTAAAAATTTTGGCTGGGGACTTAATCTTGCTCATGCTGTATTCAACAGGGAGAGAGACTGGCTCAAAACGGGAGTCAGAATCTCTTCTGGAGGAGTGGGAAGGTGGACTTGAAATTAGAACTTAAATGGCTGGCTGATCTCAAATGGAGAAGATATGAATTCTCCTTTGCAATCTGATGCCCTGTCTACAACGTGTGTTGGGTATCTGGGTGGGCACGTGTGGGCTGTGTGTGTGCAGGGGGCATTTTTGCCTCTGTGTGTGCCACAGGAAGGAAGACTGAGCTACAGAGAAGACTGTCACAGACATGGAGACAGGAGCCGAAAAGAAAAAGCAAAGCAAAAACACACATCTCTGGTCTCTCATGAGACGCGAGCCTTCTCTCCCACTCAGAGATCTGAGTCATTCCCCTCTCTCTCTAAAACACTTCTCAACTTCACTTCAGGGAGCAACTCTGGTTGCCACAGGGAGGGCACACTTGCTGAAGAAAGAGAGAGTGAGAAATCACGCTCCAGAGGGTGTGGCCACGCTGCAATCCTTTCTCTATTCTCTTCTCAGGATTTTGGGCACGCATGTACATGTGGCAGGTGTGATTTTCAAGCTATTGTTGCAAGGACTCGAATTACGGTCAGCCATGTGTGACTCCAGTGCCTTAGCCATGACTCCACCTGCTGGCCCCTAGGAGCAGAGTTAAGGTGTTCTCACCACCGAGAAGTGAAAAAGGGTGTGAGGCAATGTATGCATTTATTTGCCTGATTTAGCCGTTCCACAGCATATACATATTTCAAAACGTCATGTTATATACCATAAATGCATACATCTTTTGTCAATTAAAAAAAGAGTTAAAAGAAGAATTACTACCATTCTCACTCTAAATATTAGAACATTAAGGCAAGTTAAAGATAACTTATTTAATTAGTTATACAGGGAAAGTTATGCTATGGGACTATACCAAACAGGAAATCTCAGTGGCTGAACACAATGAGTATTTGTCATGTATACGGTATATACGCTGTGGACTGGCAACTGGCAGGGGCCTGGGAAAGGCATCTGCTCCATGTGGTCACTCAGGGATCCAGGCTAATAAAGGCTGATACAGCTCATGACTATTCCACCTGGCACAGGTAGCTTCAGAGTTCACGAGGGCAGAGGGAGACAATACAATACCACCACACCAGCTCGCCTTTTACCCCAGAAGTGACTCAGGTTGGTTTCACTCATAGCCTATTGGCCAGAACCAGGCTTGAGGCCCCACCTAACTTCCAGAGGCCTGGGAATGGTGACACACAGATGTTTAGTGCACAGAGAACATCTCTACTGTAGTAATTTTCCCAAGATCACTCAGCCACTAAGCAGCAGTGTGGAGAAATCAACCACTCCACTTGATGGTGTCCTTAAAATTTTTAAACCTCATTTGGGAGACCCTGTTACAAGTCTATCAGGAAATCCTTTAGAAACAACTAGACCTAGGCCAGCAGGTGGCATGGAGGTTAAAGTGCTAGATCCTAGATAGCCAACTGTGTGGTTTGAGTCCTGGACCTAGTGGCTTAAAAATCACACTAGGAGTGTGTATGTGTGTGCCCAAAGATCTGGAGAGGAGAATGGAGGAGAAGGAACTGTGGCATGGCCATGCCCTCTGGGGAGCAACTTCTTATATTCCCTCCTCTCTGTCTCTCTTGCCAGTGAGCACACACACCCATAGCAAAAACTAAAACATGAACACAGAAACCAAAAACCACAATCCAGACATTATCTTAGAATTCACAGCCTTTTCTTAGAACTTTCTGCTTTCTCACGACGGTTCCTAGCTTTGCACAACCAAGGGGCCATTCTTCAGGGCCAAACTCCCGGGCAGGACCCACCTTTGTTGGCACAGGCCATCCACTTGAGGTTGTCTGCAAAAGCAGCCTCCCGTCCAATGAGGTACGTGAAGATGCGAACCTGAGAGGGAGACAGACACACGGGTGAGCGGCACGCCCTTTGCAGCCCCATGCAGACCACACGCACGGCCCACGCACACGTGTGGTTTACCTCTTCAATGCTTCATGCTTCCCATCTGCAGGAACACATCTAAGACATCGGAAGTACCGTCAGCTAGAAATATATGCAAAACTGGGGCCTTTGATCTCATACACCATATGGCGCTGCTGGTGGTTGTTTTTCCATGTGGACTCACAACACAGATAATCACTTGAAGTGCGAGGCCCGCAGTATCACGGGTCTGGGTGTGCTCCACACATATGGACAAGGATCATCCAGTTTTGGACCAAATCCTCAACCATTTTCCTTTTGGCACAGGAAATGCAGGATATTGCCTCTTGGGAATAAAAATGCCACCAAAAGACTCTCACCATGTCCCCCCATGGTGAGGACAGGCTGCAGGACAGGGCACTCTCACCACCTGTGGTGTCTGGCATGATTGTAGGAGATAATTCACTGGGATGAGCGGCACAGTCTGTGGCCAAGAGACCAGTGGGAACGCTCTCTATCCCCTCTACGCATTGGGCTTCCAAAGGGCAGAGAACATTGTAAAACTCCAGCTCTTTCATTTTCTATCACGTTCTCCACTCCTTTTTGTGAGGCCAAAAAGCTCTGAAACAAGGCATGACCCGCCTGCCAGGGCGGTGCTTGAGAGTCTGATGAAAGAAAGGCAAGGAATTCGGAGGGTTAAATTTAATTCAAAACTAAAACAGCTTGAGGATCAACACTTCACAATCCAAACAAAACTCCTTCAGCAGGCCAAGTGAGGACCTCTGGCCACCTCCTTGGGACCGAGTTTCATGAAGTTTAATTAGATGAATGATGCCTGGCATGTGGCATCAAGGTGGATGTCCCCTCAGCTCACCCAGACTTGGGGCTCAGGCACCCCCACTGCTCCTTCCGAGTCTTTACTAATCAGGGTTAGCTGCTACCTTGTGTGGTGAGGGCTGTGAGGCTGATTTCCACCAGATTGCCAGGTTGGCCAGGGAAAGATGACGGGTCTTTACCTGGCCATGCCCCAACGGAGCCCAGTACTGGAAACGTTCAACTCCATACATAAATGAATAAAGATATCTGAGTGTTCACAGCTGGTTGTAGACATGAGGATTTCATTTTTCTGTTTGTTCATTGTTGTGCAAAAGGACCCATGCGCTCGCCAGAAGGAGAGGAAGAAGCACCCTTTATGGGCATGGGCACGGGCATACTACAATTCTTTCTCCATCTCTCCCTCCTTTTGAGATTTTGGGCATGTGCGTGCACACGCATGCACACACACACACACACACACACACACACACACACCCTGGGTGTGTTTCTCAAGCCACCAGCTTCAGGATTTGAACCATATGGTTGATGATGTGGGATCCAACTGTCTTAACCATGAGGCCACAGAGCTAGTCCAAAGATTTAGTTTTAATTACAAATATCCTCTAATCTGGGTATTGTAACTTGAAAGTCAGACTTTAGACAATGGTTTATTTCCAATTTAGAGATGTTTCACTGCGCGTTGTTACACCGTAACCTCAGTCTGTGCTCAGGTGTGTCCAGTCAGGCAGTCATTTCATTCATCACGGCTCCTGTAAGCAGGCTTCCTGGGTGGATGGGAGGTGACGGACCCTGGCCTGTCTTCGCTCCCCTTGTTCTTTCCCACACCACTTCTAGAGTCACATTTGGGAGCAAGAATATGACTCCCAGAATTAGGAGACTGTCTGTCTGTCTGTCTGTCTGTCTGTCTGTCTATCTATCTATCTATCTATGATTTTTGCCACCAGGCACATGCAAATGCCAGAGACAGACAGAGAGACAGTGAGAGGGAAAGTGAGAAGTCACCCCCCAAGAAGGATGTCCACATCACAATCCCTTCTCCTCTTGGGATTTTGGGCACGTGCACACACACAGTGTGATTTTCAAGCCACTTGAACCGCAGTTGGCCAAGTGGAAATTTAGTGCTGTAACCACTATGCCACCTGCTGGCCCCTACTCTGGCTTCTTTTGGGAAAACGAAAAGGAAAAAAAAAAAAAAGCAAAGATCCAGCCTCTTATGGCCAAAGGCAGTTGTCACTGGCCCCTCTCTACACAGAGCTGCTTCTCCTGCTCAGTACCCTGCCTGGCCACTGTGAGCATTTAACTGAGCATCTCTGATTTAGGACAAAACAGATGACCTGTTAAGTGTTTTGCTTAGTTTCACTGAGGTTCAAGAGAGGTCTCCAAAGCCCCTGCAGAGCTCTGGGGTCTCTTCTTGACCTCTGGAGATGCTGATCTGGTCCAAACAGAAGCCTCCAACCAGCTCTAAAGTCAGAACCAGCACTGGAGCCAGGACAGGAATCTAGTCTCTTGAGATCAGACCCATGGTTGTTTCATCAATCTTTGCCTTTAATTTCAAACTGAAGCTTTTCAAAGGAAAAACACTAGACTAATATAATAAAAATTTGCATTCTGCTGGCTCTGAGCTTAGCAAGAGAGTGTAAGAAATAGTTCTCAGAAAACAAAGCAATGAGTCTACCTTCGTAGGCAAAGACCCAACACGAAGCAGCCCCACGTGACTTTGGGTAAAGCGAGCTGTGCTTACGGGCCTCCTCTGCTGTCCAGACCAAGAATCTTGGTGTAAACTGAGCTCTCTCTTGAAGGCATAGTTAAAACTCCAGAACCATGCTGTGAATCATCGGCAAAACTTATACAATGCCTGATTTAAAAGATGGCAACCTATTTGGAAAACCAGTAGGATTATGCCAAACTGCAGAGCAGACATGATTGCTTAAGAAACATCGTGCTAACAACAATGACGATAATGAAAACCAGCAGCATTTCCCCAGACTCCACCGGCACTGCCCTGACCATTACCACCAGCGTGGATCCTGTGGTCGGCGCCATCCCCCGGGTCAGGGACTGTACTAAGGGACAGCAGGCATTCTATTTGTTTTGTTGGTTTGTATTTTATTTTATTGCTTATTTAAAATTTGGAATCCTCTTCTCTATTTCCATTGATGTGCAATCCTTGGCTCCCAGTGGGCTGACCTCCTTATCTGAGGAGGAATGGCGTGGGAATGACTTGTTGCATGTTTGCCCATGAAATATAGTAATCCAGCAACACTGTGCATTTCTCACAATGGGTCCTTCAACTGACCACAAAAGAAAAGGGATTTTACTTTGGAGTATGATGTATGTTGGAGAGCAATCTGACAATACTCACATTATTTATTTATTTATATATTTATATATATATATAATTTATATATTTATTATGTATTTATTTATATATATGAATAAATACATATAAGAGGTTTATGTCATAGGGTATGTATGCTCAGTTGAGAGAGACAGTAAGAGGGAAAGTAAGAAAATCATTCTCCAGTAGGGATGGCCACGCTGCAATCCCTTCTCCTCCATTCTTCTGGGATCTTGGGCACGCACGCACGCACACACACTCAGTGTGATTTTCAAGCCACTGCATCCGGGACTTTTACCATGGTTGGCCATGTGGGAGTCCAGTGATGTAACCACTACCCCATCTGCAGGCCCGGGCATTTTATATTTGTAATTTGCCCAACCCAGTAATTCTACTTCTAGGTATTAATCTCGTAGCCAGGATAAGAAATAAGATGCCAGTGCGGACTAGCAGGTAAGAGAGATGACAGGAAGTGGTAGACGTGCGGGAGAAAGCAGGGCTTCAGGAAGCTCTAGCATACAGACTCAGACAGGTGCACATACACAAGTGATGACAGCACAGGTGCATCTGCCTTCATTACTCAGAACGGTCCCCAACTGTTAACTCTGAGTGCCTCTTGATCACTGACTGGCTGAAAGTGGGCAGTCTACTCATGCCTTGGCATAACATATAGCCATGAATCATCCAAGATGGATTGGTAAAGGGAGAAGAGCACAATGTAGGGTAATGTGTCACACAGACTCCTATTTTTTTTTTTGGAGAGGTTTTTGCTATAGGGCACGTGCACTCACCAAAAAGACAGAAAGAGACAGAGAGTCAGAAAGTGAGAAATCACCTCCTGGAGGGATGGCCATGCCGCAATCCCTTCTCCTCCATTCTCCTCTTGGGATCTTGGGCACATACGCACACACGCCCAGTGTGAATTTAAGCCACCAGGTCCAGGACTTGAACCGTGGTCAACTACATGGGAGTTCAACGACATAGCTATTACGTCAACTGTTGGTCCCACTCTTATGCCTTTTCTAAGGAGACTACTCATGCTTTTTACTTCATGATTTTATTTATTTATTTTTAGATTTTTGTCATAAAGCATGTGTGCTTGCCAGAGAGAGATAGAGACAGAGAGAGGAAAAGTGACAAATCATCCCCCAGGGGGAATGGCCACACCTCAATCCCTTCTCCTTGAGTCTCCTCTAGGGATTCTGGGCATGCACGCACATGCACCTGGGGTGATTTTCAAGCAGGTGGGTCTGGGACTCAAACCACAGTCAGCCATGTGGGAATCCAGTGCCTTAACCACCATGCCACCTGCTGGCCCCCTTCATGAGCTGCTGCTTTTTTTTGTTTATCATTTCAATGATTATTACAAATAAACAAGTATTGCTGTAGTAACTAAAGATCACTTTACACAAGAAGAGAGTAATGACACTGTTCCTTTCTGACCTAATTCTACTTCTGGGATTTATCTCATAGCCAGGATAAGAAGTAAGACACCAGTGGGGACTAACAGGTAACAAAGATGACAATTGCAGGGACATAGTTGTGAAAATCAAACAGAATATGTGATGGGCCAGCCTGTGCCATGGTGGTTAGGGCAGCTGGAGCCCACACGGTCAATGGTGCAGTTCAAGTCCTGGATCTGGCAGCCTGAAAAACTTGCTGGACATGTGTGCACGTGGACCCACAATCTCGACAAGAGAGAAGATGAGGAGGCAGGAACACAGCACGATCATCTCCCAAGAGCAAGTCTGCTTTCTCACTTTCCCTCTCTCCCTGTCTGTCTGCCTCTGGGAAA